GGTAAAAATTATTCCTAGTAACTGTGATTTACTCATTTGACAAATATGCACTGAATTTTATCTGGAAGATACGGGATGGAGGCACTAGGGACATGGTGAACAAGGCAGACAGAATCCCTGCTCTCAGGAAGACAATCTTCTGGCATAGGAGCCAGACATTTCTACAGAGAAGCCCATAAATACATTTATCTGTGACTGTGATAAGTGTTAGTTAGTTGGTACTTACGTGTTCCTTGGTCATGTTGTATCAGCCAGTGATTGAAAACTAAGTATAAATAACAGGACTATAGAACTGTGTTAAAAGATTTGCCCCAGGAAAGAACCATCTGATATTTGGGTTTAACAGTGGAAATAGCTATGTTTAATCCAAAGTCCTGGAAATTGAGAAGTGAGTTCCTTGACTGAGATAGATGCTTTGGACAGGGAAGCTGAGGCTAAGGCTTCCCTGAGGTGGTCCTGCTGCCATCAAGTGGTGAGGGAGCTGGGAAAATCTCTTGGGCCTCAGTTTCTTCATCAGGAAGATCAGGTTATTGTTCTGGTTCTCTAAACATCACTTTCTGCTCAGTTTTCTGAGTCCACAGGGACTAAGATGTATATTAAACATGCCCTGGAAAACTGCAGCCGAGACCTGACCTTGGTCCCTACTGCATGCTTTTCCTCTAGGACTCAACTCTAGCTGAGCAATGCCCTCAGAGTGCAGAGCTGAGAGAGCAAATGCAAGAAAGTCAGCAAGTTTGGAGAATGAAAAATAATTCAAAGAAAGTCAAGGTAATGGTGGAGCATGTAGTAGCCAATGGTGTGGAGAATAAGGACAAATTTCAGGCTGGGTTCAGATAAATCAGGGGAAACTGAGGAATGCCTACATCATCAAATTCCTCAAGGAGCATCTTGAGCTGAGCAGTGAGGACTGGGAGAATAACTTACTCTGCAGTGAATTTGTTCACTTGGTCAAGGAGAGCCACAAGATGGACTTGGGGGTGGTTTATACTGAGGGGAAGCACCAACTCCAAGAAGGGGAGGATGTGACCATGAGACCCTGCCCAGGCCCTCAAGCCTCTGCCTTGAGATTGCCCTAGCAATGGATGCCCTCCAAGTAAGTGTGGGCTTAGTGAGAATAGACGATGCTTGGAAAAGTGTTGGAGATGTCCATTCTTGTTGTAAACACTTCTGCCCTAGGTCAAAGGGGCCAAGGTAAGAGGATTCTCATACCTGAAGCAGTGATGATAATAATAATATTCTTCTGTATTTACAGTTGAGAAAGGTTTTACACTTAATATCTTATACGTATTTGTTGAGTGCTTAATTTCCCTGTGTTAAGAACTTGGAGTTCAGATATTAGCATCTCCCTGAGGAGACACAGTGAGTGAGAAGAAGAACACAAACAGATAATTTCAACAAAATATGGTAGCTCTCCTAAACTGGGGTGTTATGACAGCCCAGAGTATAGGCAGGTAGGAGGCCAAGGACATCTCTTCCTAACGTGAGGGTGAACCATTGAGAGGAATCCCTGAGGACAGTTTTCATTAAAGCTCGCCACAGATAACTGATCGCAGGGCATGGACCAAATAGTGGAGGGCAGGGTCCTTTCTAGGGAAGAGAATTTGTTGTCTCCTTGGAGGATGTAGAGCATTCCTGAGAGGACTCTAGGGACAGGAATGCAGTTGAGATGATTGGAGGTTTGCAATCACTTCTCTTTTTAGCCGTTGGATAAATATTACTGAGAACCTCCTTAATGCCTGGCCCTGTGCTAGGAGCCATGAATTCAGAGATCAGTAAAACATTATCTAGACTTTCAAAGAGATCTCATGTGAGTAGCCAATAATACAATAATAATTTTTACCTGTATAATAGGATCTTTCCTTGAGAGGATCTATCTCTCCTTCATTCAAAGGGCTCTATAATTGTGAATTCGTTGAGAGCCTGTGAATTTTTTGAGGGCCTATCATAATTAAATCAGACTTACGTTCACCAGACCTAGAGTGTTTTTCCTTATACAAATCAATTAAAATTATAAGAGGCTGTCCATTTATCTCAGTTCTAGAGACACTAATCAATGAGCTAATGTTAAAGAGCTCTGAGGGTTTGGCCATTCTGATGATTGCTTCAGGTCTGCTATCCATTGTAGTAACTGTGGCCACCTGGTCTTTAGCAATTAATTGTTATCAATGACCCTTCCAACTCTATCTTCCCATCATTAATTTCAGGGATCACAGTTCAATGACAGTAGTTCCCACTGTCCTTCATAAAATTTCCACCATGGAATTCTTGGAGGATGAAGGGACAGATCCCTTAAATATATTTCTCATAGCCTTGTTGAAAGTAGTGTCTTTTTGACCATTCCATAGGATATAGATGGGGTGAATGAGCATGTCTTAATTAATCTGCTCCTGATCTCCCTAAGCCTTTGGATACTTTCCTCCATAATATACCAAAAAAGTTCTAGTATTTCAACTTAATTTACTATAGGCCACTTTTGGGGCAAGCTTCAGACAACCAAGCAAGGGAACAGTGAGATCCTCTCCCAGTTGCTCAGACTAACACAATGGATAAAAATAAGAACTATAATGGATTGGCTACGTGTCTGTGCACTGGAGGAATTGGGGAAGCAAAATGATTTGCACAAGGCTGTAAATTCCTAGCTCAAGATTTAGGTTGTGGACCTGAAAGCATTCTACTCAGTGCCTCTAAATCCATAAATAAATTCCGTCTGATTCAACATTATATTTCTTCCTCCCTGCTTCTTCATCCTTAGTGTTCATTCCCATAGAAGTACCTCCAGGATTTCTGTTCAGATGAATTGACAAAATCTTGCAGGACTTCTGGTTGGATTTCACCTTCTCACAGGTCACCACACTTTGTATGTTTCCCTCTGAAACTTACTGGGACTTGAGTTTCATTCTAGGTTTGTAAAGCAATGACATCTGTTGGCGGGAGGCTCTGAGGAGGCAACCACTCAGGGGAGGCTGTTAGAGATTCTTTAGGCAAGTGGAAATAAACCTCCTCAAACAAGGAAGGAAGGGCTGCATCTCATGCAACAGGAAGCTCAGTGGTGTTTAGGATTTCAACCAGCTTCATCAGGATCTGTTCATATAACCCCTCCCAGTGATACCTTTGCAATCAATGCCTTGACTTTAACATAAAGCACTCCTATGATGGTGGGAATTCGATTTAGGTTTAGTTTGCAGAATTCAGGCCTATGGCCCCATTAGATAAGGCTCTTTTCTTTTTTAAGAGAGTCATAGAAGCTTTCAGGTCCCTTAAGTAAGTCTTGAGCTAGGAATTTAGAGCCTTCCCCAATTTCTCCAGTGCACTGACAAGTAACCAACCATTATACTCCTTATTTTTATTGAAATGTCCTATGGCAGCAACTATTATACATAAACATAGCTATACACAGATGTACATAAACTATTTCAATGACTTTGACAAATTAGAAAGAGATTCTGTAGAGCTAGAATGAAATTCATAAGTGATAAGCATGAAATATGTATATAGCAATTAAAACA